TGTTACTGGTTTCTTTTAAAATCAACATTATTTCAATAGGTTTAGAAAGAGAATAATTAATAGATATAACAAGTAATTTAGCTGTCTAGAATTTCCCTCTTCAAACTGTAATATTGTGTAAAGAACTACCAACCAATAATTTCAGCATTGTGCTTTTTCAGTATCTTGCTTGAAATCTTGCATGATGCTAGTTGAGAAAAGCAAAAGTAATAACACAAACACCCACACCCTGAAGAAAAAAACACCCCAAAGCAGCAAGAACCCCATCAACCTGCCCTTTTAATTTAAGCAACTGCTGAAAAATTGAAGATCATGTTGATCTTGATACTCAACTAATGTGGTTTAAAAGTTCATAGAGAAGTGAATGGAACATGCAAGGAGTGCTGGTTTTGTCTTTTGAGTACCAACCTGCCTATTTCCATATCTTCACAGCTGACATGGTAAAAGCTGTCCTTGGTGATGTATATACATGCTGTGCAAATGTTTGTGTAGCATCTGTGAATTTAAGCTTCCTAATTTTTAACATTTAATTCAAAAGTAAAAGCAGAATACTTCATCAGAGTAAAATTGTTCTCACTTTTATTACATAAAGTAGAACAACAACACATGCTAACAAAAGAAGCTTGTTTTCCTAGGAAAGGTCAGGGGAGTTATTTGTGGAAGCAGCTTTGCCCTGCTGCTTCTCAGTGGTTTTGGCTGGTTCTGATGTTCACAACAATGCAAAGCAGACCGTGACTTGTGAGCAGTCAGCAGGGTAGGAATATCTGTCATTGCAGAGAAGTGAACTGGAAATTAAAATAGATACCACCTAGAGCATGCAGAGCATGCAGAAAAACAGCATTCTTGCATCGCCTTGTGGTCATCCCACATCGTAGGATTTCTGCCTATACTTTATACTCAACAAGAGTATAGATGGTTGCCTAACCCTCTGTTACCAAGAGGAAGCTTTTTGGCGTTTAGACTTTTGTAGGTACTTGAAGTCATATGGACAGGACTTTCAAGTCTGGCTGTTTTGCTTCTCTTGATGTTTTTCCACCTTATCTTTTAATAACTCTGTGTAAGGGGTGAAGTTAGTATCTCACTGCTGCTTCTGTGGTTAGGTATTTGTCAGGAGAAGTGAAAACTCACCTTCTCCAAACATATCTCCATTGTAGGTAGTCAAAGCCTTGTAGTCTGAGTTTGGGAAGTTTATCTGGTTGAGAGGTAATGCTTTATGGTTAGGCTGCTTTAGATTAATGATTGGAGGATAGTTAGTATTCTGAAAGTTCTGTGGTGCCTGCCAGATGAAAACCTTCTCTAAGCTCTCCATGACACGAGAAGAAGACAGCCCTTCTCCTTGTCTAAGGTTTGGTAGCTTCAATCTGTAAGCCTTTTTCTTCTGTAGGGGATGACATCCGAGTCTGAACTGGGTAAGGGGGTTGATGTGCTTGGTGGTAGTGCAGATATGCTTCCAAGTACTTGTTCCTGTTGTGGGTGGTTTCTTGAAGAAGTACGAAACAAGTATGTGAAATTGAGTCCCACATCGATTTTTGTTTCTCAGAGGCAGTTGCCGTTGAATTCTCAATAAAGTAATATAACAATGTTAGGAGAGACTGGAAAATGCTTCCAGGTATAGCACTATTTTTGGTAGGAATTATAAGGTATAAGCAGCGGGGAGAATAAAAAGCCCACAAACCCTCTAGAAATGCAGTAATGCCTGTTTTAGCTAATGTGATGGGAAAACTGATTATAACTTTTTGTTTTCTACTGATATTTTAACCTGCCACAGTAATGTAGTGCTGTCTTCAGACAACTTCTGTAGTGAATATACTGTGCTTGCCTTCAGAAGCGTGCTGAATTGAAATTAAAAAGGAAATTATAGTCTGAAACAAGGAAACTTTACACTGATGATTTGTAACACTCCAAAGGTCGAAGCAAATGTGTTTTGTCTTGGTTATGGTAAGAAACTGTAAGTGCTTTGATCCTGAAGTTACTGAGAATTACATATTCAAGTTTATCTAGTGAGTTAAAAATTGTATTAATGAGAAAAATTATTCCATGTTAGAATAGCAGAACTTACTGACCTTCATGTTTCTGATGCGCTGTCTATTCAGAAAAAAAACCCCATAATTGAAAAAGAGTAAATCTTGTGTCTTAAACTCACCAATATCTTAATTTAGAAAGCCTTTCCTCAGTGATTCAGCTTAAGAATATCAGATGTTTTTAAGCCAGAAAACAAAAGCCTGCTGCTTCTTGAGAAAAATAGAAAAGAACTTACATGTTAGCTGTATTCTTTCTGAATCAGAATCAAAATGTTTGATTTTTCTGTGCTTCCAAGAACTAGATTTTATGCCCACTGGGGCAGGAGGTAGAACAAGAGGAACTTGGGATGTGGGGAACAGATGCTCTGAAAGACATTACTGGAGACATATCAAGGGAGAGAGGTAGATGACAGAAGAGAAAGACTTTGGGACTACGTAGGGACTCCAGAACAATGTGAGAGAGGTCCCCAGTAAAGAACTATTTTATGGGACTCCATGGTAGCCCCAAGCCTCTATACACTTCATGACTGACCTGCCTGGATCATCCTGGACTACGTAGCTTCCCCCTTGGGGCTGGGGCACTGTGTCAGGAACCACTGCCCTAACCCACCCAAGGTCTCTCCTGTGCTGCACTACTTCTGCTGAACACTGTAGTAATGTAGTTTGGAAAATTGTGCCTACATCTGTGATGAAAATGTTTCGATATCTGAGCCCATTTGGTCTTAAACTGTGACAGTCAGTCAGGAGATGGTGTCTGAAGCTGAATGGGCCTTGATAGCCATTGTCTTGGAAGTGTGCTCAGTTTAGTGAAGCAGTGAGAGTGTCCTAATAAAAGCCACATTTTAATTGTCTAGGGAGTGTGTGGTGTTTTATCCTAATGCTCTTTTCTGTAGGTTTTTTAAATTTCTAGTCCCTTATCTTTCTAGAATGTTGCATATTATAAATCTGCCAAATGCACACACTGATTTTGCACTATACTTTTTAGCAAGGGCATTTAGCTTCCCATTTGTTTCTTCCTCCATTTGTTCCTACTCTTTGTTTAGAAATTTTGTCCTATCCCATTTTTTATCATGCTACTTTGCAGCATCAGGCTCACACAGAGACAGGATGAGGAACAAAGTGCAGCTGCAAGTGTTGCCTGTATGTGAATGCAAGGACAGCTCATTGGATATTTGTGCTCCTTAGCTACAAAAACCTTTTTAAAATCAAGAAATGTGAACAGCTGAAATGCACAGTTAAATATAATGTGCAAAATACTAATGTACCAATTTGAAACTTAGAGTCATCCTTTCTTTATATTAGCATACTATGCTGGTGCCAATAACACTGACAGTGCAGAAATTAGAAGATTGCTATATAAAGAAGTCCAAAAGCAATTGGTGTACGAAAATGATGTAGTAATGAGCAGCACTGTTCCACCACCTTAAAGTACATCTCTTTGTAAAATCTTCCTCGGGGCAATTCCTGTTGTTCTACTAAGGGGCCCATATTTTGAAGTGAGGGGTTTATGCTTATGCATATTCTCAAACAGTTTGTGTTTGTGAGTTAGGTAGTGAGGGAGTAGCACAGCTTTCTGAGCTGTTCTATGTGTACCTAACTAGTAGTAGCTGCACAGTGCAACAGAAGTCTTTTGACAATACTGAGGACGTAAGTGCTGCTACAGTTACTATTTTCTATAGTAGATGTGGTCATTACTTGATAGCACAGTAGCTGTCACAAGCCATTTTTGCTGTTGGGAGGACTGTAATTTTCTTTTTTATAGTTCTTATTTCAGTGCATTAGTGTGCTGACCATAATGACAGTGACATTCTGAGTTAATTTTTTTGCTTTCTTTTGTAGTGGATTTGGTATAGCACATGAAACTGATTAAAATGACCAAAATTAAAAAAATGAAAGTGAGAAAAAGAAGTTGAGTTTTTTCGTTTTATCTCTATTTCCTTTGACTGCTTTCTGTTATTTATTAGAAGTTTAGGCAGTTTAGTGACTGCATTTCAGGCACTTTTTCCTGAGTAGTGGAAAGATTATAGTCTTTACAGGATGATGAATTGTGGGTTGTCTTCTTTGGAGTCTCCATGTATTCCTGTGGAATATCTTTTGCTATAAAATACTTTCTGCAATGGCAGTTATTGCTTAAAATGTCCTCTATGTGTATTGTGTCCTGGTAGATGCCTGAACATGCATTGCCTTTGTTCTTGGAAGAAGGGCTGGAGCTTGGGAATCTGCACATTCTTTAGTTCCATGACGTTGCCAACAGATTGGTGCCTCTGTGAAACCTATGCAGGCCATCTGTGGATTTCACAATCTCTGTGGACTCATTCATTTCTTTCTTTGGTGTCTTCACCCCTTTGTTTCACTAAAACTTCCTCCTATGATGGCTACTAACTTTTGTGATTTTAAATGTTATTTAATGCTAAGTTTGGTAAACCTCTCCTGACACTGATGTTCTGCAACCTGATGAGTCTGCAAGGGCCAAAAGTTATGAAAATAGGAATGTTCTTCCATGGTCACTTGTGGCCTTAACTGACACAGGAAAAAAGTGAGACTGGTGTGCTGTGGTGCCTGGGGGGAGAACGTGATGACAAGTGAGATGAAAGTGGTATCTGATCAGTTGTAGCTAATGGCTTCAGTCAGTTATACTCTATATCTTGTCTGATGAGGCTTGCTAGCTGCATAAGCTGCTGAATCTAGTGTCCTCGCCCCAGAAAGGTTAGTGAGATTTGAATGAGTCACATGTCCTGGTGCTGGCAGGATATAAGTTATCCTGATTTTTTTTTATCAGAGTAAATGAGTTTCTGATGATACAGCCTGTTTAAAACACTTTTATGGAAAGGTCTGTTAGCTAATTTTTACTGGAAATTAATCTTGCTCATGTGTTTTAGGAATTATGTTTTAGTACATCTAATTACTTTTAAGAAAGTTCAAAGCATATGCTCTGTTACTAGGAAAAAAACATAAGAAATCTCATTTTATTTTATACAGACTGCATCAAAATCAAAGCTGAAGAAAAAAACAACTAAAACCCAAGAAGCCAAAAAAATTTTGAAGAAGAAATTTAAAGTTAACACAAAAATAGTCTTTACTGAAGATGGAGAGGTAAGATAATTAAAAATAACTGTATTTTGCTGGGAACTGAATTTGTATTTTCTATAAAGTCTAAAATGCGCTTTATATCTGTATAAAAAGATGGGCTTTTCAAAAGTGTGTCATTTTTGTATATGGCTTAAATTTTGCAAAAGTGTTCAGCTTCCATTTAGAATTCAGTTCCATTGGGAAAAAGAGGAATGTTGCGCCCTGACCTCTTTTCATCTTGTTATGTGTAAAGTACTTGTACGAGAGCTGTAAGTGGATGTACAGAACTGTATCTCTTTTCTGCCTATTATCTTCAATTTCAGGTGAGATCAAGAGCCTATTTTTTCCTTACAGAAATGTAAAATAATTTTCCTGTAGCTATTTGCCAAAGCTCCCCCAAGTCTTGAGTTAATGTACTGGAATTAAAAGAAGTCTTTGGTTTTCTTTCCAGCATTCACTCTTTCTAGATTAAAAGTTCTGTTAGGAAAGCCAAGGAGGTACCAAATTTTGGCCTACTGATGGTGATGTATCTGTGCATTGAAATTTGACAGTTATGTAATTGGATCTTTTAATAGACACTGGAAAAATGTATTGATTTTATACCGAAAGAGCTATCGAGGATGCCAGTCACTCTAGGGTTTCACTGTGGCGATAACCTCTCTAGCAAGTATCCATGCTCCATAAACTTGCCTAACATTGGATTTCACAGCTTCAGATGCTGTGTATTTTTTCCATTTCTAGCATTAAGAAAATAGTAGGTGCCTTTTTACTGTAGAATAATTTCAGTAAGGCATAAACTGAAAGAGAGGTCACCTTTACAAGTATATAATTTGCTTTCATGACCAACAGAAAATAAAGGATTTTATGTTTCAGATGGTGGGAATAGAGCCATATACATAATTATTGACATTAGACAAAATGCAGAAGGTTTTAGAGGCTGCCACATTGACTGAAAGTTATAATTTCAGATGTTTTAGATATTCAGAAGCTGTTGTCTGATCTTAAAATTCATATGCAAATGGTTTATGTATCTATGCCATGATGCAAAAAGAAGTAAGGATGGAAAAAAAAATACCACAAAGATTATAGTTTAAAAAGCAGCACAAAAGAGAAGGGGTGACTTATTTAAGGAAACACAAATTTTGCATCTGTGGATGTTGTTCTGCTTTTTTTTGTCTGACCTGTGTAAAACTGCTTTGAAATTTTTCTGTTCTATTCCACGTGCTTCTCTTTGATAAAATGGAAGTCCTTTAAGAAATGTATCTTTCTAGAAAATGCAACTATACAAACTCTGTTTTACAAAAGTGGAAACAGTAGGTTGGGTTTGCTAGTACCTGGTGAATAACACCCTCTGTGCATTAGGAAGCCCTATATGTGCTTGGTTTTGCATTTGTACTGACAGGCGTTAAAAGTGGAAACAGTAGGTTGGGTTTGCTCGTACCTGGTGAATAACACCTTCTGTGCATTGGTTTTGCATTTGTACTGACAGGCATTCTACATTTTCTCCCATGTGGTTTCTTTAAGAGTTACTACTCTATCAGTCCATAAGCAAGAATGATTTTGCAAAGACTGCCCCACAATGGTGTGGTTTCATACTACAAGGTATAAGCTATTAGGTCGTAAGATTGATGGGGATATTTTTTGATGAATGTGTAGTCTTTGTCTTACTTTACAGTTTCAGGTATTTAAGGGAAGCTGGGTGTGTTCAGCGTGTTGTCCGTCAAACATTTCATCAGCATGAATCATCAAAAATTTCCCATACAGTTCTAGTATAATAATCAAAACAAGCCTCCATGTCTGGTTTTGTTTCCCCCAAAACATAAACCTGCAGGTGTGGCATTTTGTGTACTCTGTGATAAAGGCTTATCTAATTTTTGTCAAAATATGTTGGAATATTGATTGTTTACTTGAAAGGTACTTGTTTAGATTTACTTATGTTTTGTTCTCCTGGTATATTTTGGAGAGCCATTTCTTCAAAGTAAATATGATTTTTTCTCCCAAAATGACTAGAAATTATTGGTTCCATTCAGCAAGGAAAAAAATAGGAGATGAAGTTCAAGTGAATCTATTAAACAGTAATTTAACAGGAGATACTATTTTCAGATACTCATTTGTGACTGAATGTGGTGTTAAATAATGTATCTGAATTTCTGTTGTCCAGAGGTTTTGTTAATTTGTTTCTATAGGAAATGGCCTAAAAATAATATATTGGAATATTTAGGGCATCAGAAGTTTGATGTGGAAAAAATTATTCTTACCAGTATTTTTCTTGTTGACGTGTCTAATTCAGTTAGTGCAGCAGTGGCCACCTGTGCAAAAATCCAGTTTGGCAAAAGAAGATGAGGAAGATGATGCCAGTGGTATCAACTTAGAAAAAGCCAAGGAGATACTGCGGCAAGAAGACAAATTTGACAAAGAAGAATACAGGAAGAAAGTAAAGGAAAAACATAGGGTAAGTTGATTTTTTACATCAGTGATTGAAGTGCAGAAATACTGTGGTATGGATTGCTCAGTGAGGACAAATCCTTAAATACATTGTGAGATAAGTGTAATACATTTAAATTCATCAGTTTTTTCAGGACCACATTGCACACAGGAGGACTGTTCTGATGTAAGTAGCACAAAGCCTTATCCAATACTAGTTGTAGGTACAGTGGAGTTTTATTTACACCTTTGTAATCTGTAAAGAATTTAGTGGGAGTATCTTTTTTTTTTTTTTTTTTCTTTTCAAGCAGTGTTCAGTGGAAGGGTTTGTTTCACAAAAAGAAAGTATTGTTTGGCATATGTGGTCTAACAAATGCTGAAATGTCTTCATACTACAACTTGTTCAACATTCAGTATTACATTTCAGGTAGGCAAAAGTGCTAACTTTTTGTATTGGTGTTATTAGGGCTATGAGAATTTATTTCATGAATTACTCAAACAACGTCACATAATTTTGTCTGTAACTTGAAAATACCAGTATCCACAGTCTGGCTTCTCTCTGGCATTTAAAAACCTTTTAAGTTGCAGACCATAAGGTTTCAAACTGCTTCTGTGTTGTCATGGACCAAAGCAGAGTTTTCTGAGCTTGCTGTGTGCCCATCATATGGAACACAGCTGTATGTCTTTGAGCTCAGGGGTCATTCTGTTAGTAGTTGTGAGAAGGGTATGAAGTTCTTCTTTATGTCTGGGATTCTTGACAGTCAGCGGTTGCTATAATAGTAATTATTGGGAAAATAGGCTGAATTATTTGGAAAATATCTTTTGTCTCGTCCAACCAGAGACAAGCACCAGTTCCTTTTTCTTGGGTCACTCTTCCAGTGACTCATGAAGAAGCTGCATTGTAACTAGGTGGAACAGATACTATTCAATTTTTTTCTTAACAGAAAATGTGTAATTAGTTAAATTCACACTAATGGGAGTTGTATAGCATAATTTAGAAATAATAGCTAAATATCATAGATAAACATTATTTTAGCCATTTCAGTCATTGGCTTTTCACTAATATGTGTTTAGAATTTATTGCATTGCTGGTGGGACAAGTCATCAGTCCCTCATTAGCAAAATAACACTGGGGGAAATTTTAACTGCTTCAAAGTAAAAGGGAGTTGTGTGGTCACTTTCACAGTAACTTCCCAATTTAAAAATTCAGCCACCTCATAAGTTTTCCGTTCCCAAAAGGCAACAGTCATTCAGCAGCAAATACCAGTTGAGTTGAAACTTTGGCTTGCATCTCAGTGATGTGAAGGAAGAAGATATACCCAAGTCCATGTTTCATCACTGTACTGCAGGAGTTTGACCAAGTGTCTGATCATTGTCTGAAATTGCCATTCAAGTTTGGCTGTGAATGTAAGCCTGACAAATAGCTAAGTTATTTCTTACCCTCATTTGGAGGGAGAAGATGAAACCTAAAAGGCAGATATTCAGGTGTGTTACCACAAAGGATATGAGAGCAACAAGATGTGGAGACTTTGTTTTCATGACTTCAGATTTTGTGTAAGTGGGGATGTCTTAGTGCTCCTTTTGTGTCATTGAAAGAGGAGCTTTCTGAAGCCCTATACTTTCACCCCAGCTTCCTCATCCTCTCACCGGCATGCAGCAGTACACTTTATACAGAGCCTTAAGTCCATTGCCTGTGACCATCATCACTTCTTTCAAAATCCTCCATGCTTCACTATGAGCCAAAATACATCATGGCATAGCCCAAACTCTGTTTTCTGATTTGTCCTTTCTGCAATAATGCTAATTATTTCATTCCTATCTTTGTTTAAATTTCTTTCTTGCAAGCAAACTGCTGTAGGTCTTTGTCCATTTGATGTATGTTCTGACAGCAGATGTGACAACTTGCTGTTTCTTGGTTTTCTACCTCAGTTACTCAGTTCTACTATGTCTTGCTTCCCTGCTTTTTGTAAGAGTCATGGCTAAGTTTTTCCTCTCTGCTTTTGCACCAGATTTGTTCAAGATCTTTGCTTAAGATTTTTATCAGTTTAACTTCCTTCACTTTCATATTTTCAAATGTATCTTGATTCATATTTCCTCCTCCTAATTCCTTTTCTTACTACTGCAGCTGGTGCTTGGTCTAGTTTCCTGGTGTGTATGTTTGGCAGTTGTTGTTGGCCTTGTGGTTTTTTTCCTTTAAATCAATTTTTTAAACATACTAAAACTATCCAGGTTATTACATAAATGGATTAGCAGACCATTAGAGACAAATCCATTTTCATTCTGTATAAACCAAATGTAGCAGTCTGGTACATGGTTACATCAGTAATCAAAAAGTCCCCTGAAGCTGAATGTGTGCTAATGCCAGAAGTCTCTGTATTGGCTTTAAAGTGGTGACTTAGAATAACAAAATAATTTACAGAAGGCTGTACAGGCAGATGTTATTTCATCCAGGTTTTTTTACATCTCACACATGGGTTCAGATTT